TTGTATGTGCGGTCAATACGTATATTGAAGAATTTGTCGACAAATCTGTTCAGATTTAGCGAATGCAGGAAGTGACGAAAAAACATTTTCTTTTTTTTTTATTAAATTGAGCATTACATATTATGACAGCCAAATATTATTAATAGTTGACCTTAGCGCACATTCTGCAAATATGAAATGAAAATTTCACAACTTGACATCCACTGTCATTAATAATTTGATGTACCTTCACCGAACAACAAATATGCAAAAAAAAAAAAGACATACTCGCAACATTTATCAGAACATAATTGACTATTTGACCAAAACCTAGTTTTATGTACAAGGTTCGCACAGGCAAGATTGTCGAGCGAGTGGCATTACTAATAGAAACATTTTTTAATGCACATTAAAAGAAAATGCAGAACAATTTTCATTGAGCATGAAATGATTTCATAAAATAAAAAAAGGCACATGAATAATAGCGATGGGCATAATAATTTAACTCAAAAGAAAATTAAAATAATTAGAATGAAAATTTAACACGAATATATCAATAAATGCTATATTATTAAATATTAATATCTTTATATAGATTTATTGTCTCTGAAATGAATATACTCTTATTTACTCATCTCGAACGAAATATTCTTGTGAGATCGCGTCTTGATGGACATGGAGATGCGATATAGGCAGAAAAAGGTTTAAAACATGCCATAACTAAGTATTAGATACTTTTAAATTTTAGGTATAATAAAAGTAGACAAAAACTATATGTTCTGCAATACCTTCCAAAAAACATGCAATAACAAATAAGTAGTACTTCATTCGTTAATTTTGATAGAATAGGAAATCGATTTAGCACATTTTTCGCGATCCACTCAGAAAACTGATGCAGACAGACACGCAGCAATTCAGCAATTTATTGGGTCGCAGCATTTTCAAGTTTAGAAACATTTTTTATAATTTTAGTTTCTACGCGTACATATATAAATAGCTCTCGATGAGGTTTTTTTTTATTTTTCTGTGCGCTTCTTTCTTTCTTTCTTTCTTTATTTATACTCGTACATACATACATATACTAATACATATATGTATTCGTATATGCATAGGCAAAGGTTATATTTATTTCTCGTTTGAATTTAATTAAATTTGCACATTTGTGTTAGATTTCATATGTACCGTATACACTAGAGAGCATAGCTATTGTTGTTGTTGTTATTGTTGTCATCATCGCCGCCGACTCGGGTGCCCTCTTCTGCGTTTGTGTGTGTGAGAAGCGCAATCAAAACAACAACAAGAACGTTAAGCTGACCAGAGGCAAAAAAAATAAACAACAAAAAATATAAAATATACAAGTAAAATCTGCCACTGTAATGTTGGCAATTGGAAACAACAACAAAACTCATATTAAATAAGCTGCGCGCGCGTTATTGAAAAAGTCCCACAAACTTATTTTTATGCGACCACCCAACCTCCCCGACCCGAAAAAACAAACAAACAAAATAGAAAACATTTTGAAAAATTTATTTGCGCTCCTCTAATTAGTTGCTATATAAACGGACGTGTGGGAGACGCCGAAGTCGCCCGACAATAAAAAATCAGACAAACACACAAACTAAAACAATACATCTCTTGATTGCTCTCAATTAAGTGTAATTACAGATTAAATTTGCTTAACACTCAGTACAATGCGAGAGACTAAGAGAAATGCGGCAGCAATATCAACAAATATTTCATTAAATACGTATAGGAAATATTTAATTACATGCGGGTCTAAATTCCCAAATGCTCGACATTTTTATGTGCCTTAAATAAACCTTTTTTATTACAGTTTAGCAATTATCTATTAAAATCGAATTTATATACCTCTTTTGATATAGTCTCCACTTTAAATTATGGTTTACGTTTCTACGAATTTATTAATATACACGTATGGTGAATCGATGGAAAAGGCAGCAAAGCCTTTCATATCCGATGTTCTTCTAAATGATCGAACAATTAATTGGCTTTGTGTGAATTTAAAGCACCATATTATTTTAGCTCGAAAATATTGAATTTGAATATTTTCAATTTTAATATCGGACGATATTTTAAAATGCAGTTTACAGTATGAGCATATTTTTATTGAATTATTATACTGAATGAAGTATTTTATTTTTTAACATTACCTAAATATGTGTTTAGAAAATATTGGAAAAGCTTACCGTTTTCGCACTCGATTGATAATATTCTTATTTATTATTTGCAATTAACGTAATATCTACCTGCTTCATTAAATTTTTAGCAACTTTCATACAAATTGTCATTTAGATTGCAATTCTTTAGTCTCCCATACACACAATATCAAGGCAAGCCTTCAATTCACAAGAATAAAGTTGGTTGTGAGTCATTTTATGTGATAGAATCGGAATGCAGGCATGCCTGACTAACAAATAAAACAAATAATAATACAGAAGCAGCTATTAATTATTTCACAACCATTTAGTTTTCTTTTCCGAATAATTGATTATCTTTATTTGCTTGGCACCCAAAAATTGTGCGCACTTAATTTCAATCAAAAATAAATATTTTATCAAAGATATTAGATATTATTTGGCTCATTGGTCTTCAATAAACTTTATTTTATCGCAAATATCGGCAACTGACTTTGACTTTGAGATAATAAGCAGTCAGTATGGCAAGCCCCAAATTAAATGAGGTGCTAATGTACCCATCCATTCCCGCTCCCGGGCTATCAAATATATTTCCCTAGAACTCTAAAGCACAAGTTGCGCTGATTTTTATGTGCATGGGTCGTCGTAAAGATAAAAAAAAAAGCGAAAAACACTGAGTGTGGGCGCTAATTTATGAATGCTCAACTGTGAGCCAAAATGAAATTGGCGGGCACATTTTAATATCATATTATGAGACGGAATATACAGTAGTATTTTTATTTTAATATTTATATTCATATACTGAATGCCCCTTTGCTTAAATATTTGTGTTTGTTTTGCACGCAAGCGCAAAAAATTATATATCAAAAGCATTTCACATATCGCCCGGTATTAGGTTTGATTTATATTTATAACTCGATGTGGAAATGGCTTAAAATAGCACCTTCTTCAATGACTTTGACTCACAAAAAATGTGTTTATACTACGTACTTGAGAAGAAGTCAACTGCTTATTTGGTAAATAAGAGATTCACATGATAGCCGCGACAAATAAGTACATCTGGGGTCTTTAACATTTAACTCCATATCTTTCAATTATGAATGTGAATGCACTCCGCAAAGAGTAAAGATCTTACAGATTTAATCGACAATCGGCTTTATTTATTATATTTTCCTTTGGCTTTGTAAAACGCTGTCAAGCAGTCAATACTACGTTCTTATTTATTAAACAAAATTTTAAAAAACTATAACAAAATAATAATAATTAATAGGTTCAGGTGAACTCTCACTAACTGATATCGTATGTCTGACGAACGCTCGAAATTCTTCTATTTCCTTAATAACTAAAGGTGAGAAATCTAGCTCTGTAGATACCAAATCCTTCTTTCCTTTTTTCCTTTGTTTTAGCAACTACGTTGGTAGTCCTATTTTTTTGACTACATTGGCCAGAAGAGTAAAAAATTCACTCTTATGGGTGTCTTTCGTCCCAAGCATTCCTAATTGATACAAAAATGTAACAATATATCGTCCGCCAATCCATTTCATTTGATTATCTAAAAAACTCACAAGAGAAGGGAACCATCTCTATTCGTATCTGTAAATACCACATGCGATCTGGAACTATCACGTTGAATTGGAAATAATACAACAATAGACTGGACATAATATTTGCTACATTCTGAAACCAATTATCTAATCTATACGTTTTACAGATCTATTTACATAAACGTGCTTTAGCTTCTCATTGTTAGCTCAGTTATTCAGCTGAGTCTGAGATTCTGTGCATTTCTCGAAATGACGAATGAATAGTAACACTAAAAATTCAAGTAGTTAAAAGGGGAAGTTAACTCAAGAGATGTGAAAAAAGTCACTCTACATGCAAACAACAAAAATAAAGTGAAATTACAATTTATTTCCGCAATTAATTATCATATGAGAAGGTGTTTTTGGGAACACAAACATTAATTATTTGTATACGTTTCAAATTAACTCTGATCTGATTTAGATTCACTTCATGACTCAGTGCTGTAATCAATGTATTTAAAGAATACGTTCGATTTTCTTATCGCCTGCCGCTAAATACATAAATCTATAAAATATTGAGACAATAAATTATAGAACTAACTTCAAAGTCCGATGTGTCTTTACTTGTTGCTGCTATGTTTGTTTGTATTTTCCTAAATAAATTTAGACGCGCCACTTTTGTATCATTTCTTTCAACACTCACAGATTTCTATGTTTGTTTGTATTGTAAGTATGTACATATGTACTTGTATGTATGTATATGCGTATATTCAAATTGAACGAACTATACGATTCGTCCGGCGGTTGAAAAATAGTGCAAAAATTTAAATTTAAAGGAAAAAAACTGTCACCAGCTAGTTGTGTCAGCTGCCAAATGAAAAGCAGCTCAAGTTGCTTTCAAACAATTTATTAGTTTAATTAAAACACACTTCTGAAAAGCTGTCATAATTTTTAATTAATATAAATACTGCGAGCTTCAATGGCAACGATAATTTCAATTTTTTTAACATTTCTCGCCACTGATATATATTTATACTTGTTTATATTTTGCAAAACTAAATCCGATTAGCAAGATTGACAGTTTTCTTTGAAGTTACATTTCGCACTATATTATTATTATTATTATTATTATTTTATATTATTATATTTTTTCAAATATTTTCTATGCCTATTGAACTATGCATATAATTTGTTACACTTAGTTAGCTGCGACACGGCGACCACATCAGCTCATATGTATATATTTTACCGCTTTTTTTTGTTATTGTTTTGTTTTGCATATTGTATATAAAGGTGGTTTAATTAAAAGTTCGCATTGTGTGAAACAGAATGCTTTACTTACTAGCACTTTTTATTATTGTTGTTTGCTGTTACTATTGATGCGATTGGTGTTGGTGTTGTTGTTGTTGTTTTTATTTTTGTTGCCGACAAATGACGCCTTTCACATATAATTTATAAATATACATACATAAGTATATAGAATATATTGCTTAATTTTTTATATCAACATACACAAATGTATGTGTGTGTGCTTAGCAACGCACGTTGCAAAATAAATTCACACAAATAAATTCACTCGCACACACACACGCACAGCTGACTAACTAACTCAGCACACCGAGAGAAACGCGCGCGTTCTGCGTACCGTTAGCAGCATTTCGAACCGCGCTCGCGCACGTTCCAATCAGAACTGAGCGAGACACAACGTCCAAAAGGCTGTCAACATCAACATATGTTGCCGACCTTGCCTCCCAAATGTACCGCAACATTTTGCGTATTGCCTGCGAGAGCACCTCAGAATCGGAGAGTGGTTCGGTTCGTCTGTTGCTGCTCTGTTTTGGTTTATTCATTGTGGAAAAATCATCGAGTGCCGGCATTGCTCAATGAACGCTCAAAGCTTACCCCAACACATCACCCTCACTCGCACAGTCACAGTCACACTCACACTCACAGGCAGAATGATTTGTCTTATTATTATTGGCTATACAGCGCGCACATGCGGCGTATGCGTAATGTGCTAGACTTGTTTTTAATCAACTGTCGTTTTTGCATATTAACACGCTCATACAGCATTTTTGCTACTTGATTGGGCAAAATGAATCCATCAATAAACTTTATTTAAGGCATAATAAGCCCATTAAACAAATAGCTATTCGCAATAAAAACAAAAAGCGGGCGCCTTTAGCCAAATGTAGCATACCCTCTCCAGCTGGTCAAGGGAAAATTTAATTGAGTTCATGTTAAAATCAAAACATCAGGGCACGCATCGTTCCATCTCATATTTGCGGATTGGATTGGACTTCAACCATATTTTGGAAATACAAACATTTTAGACATGCCCGCAACATGTCTCTAGGTTCGTTCCGCATTGTATTTTATATCCAACATGTCCAAGTGTGCATTGATTCTGGGGAAGAGTATATTTAATAACTTGTTGACATATGACATATATACTCGTGCAATGTATTAGAGATGAGAAGAAATGTTTTTAAATTGAATCATTAACCTACAGTCAAATACTTAGTTTGAATTGTATATACAAGTATGTATGTGTATTTGGTAGAACTGAGTAAATTCTACATTTATAAATATATTAATTTCGCTGTTCTTCATAAAAATATAATAGGGAGATAACTTTATACATATTGTGTCAGAACCATTTTACCGAAGGTCGAAAAAATTGTCAATATGTTTAACGAAATAACAATATTAAACCAAAATTAATATTGGCAAACGGCATAAAATGTATGCATTTATTTAGTTTATTTAATTAATAAGAGCAAATATCAACCAGCATGTCTCTTTCTAATTAATTTAAGGCTTTTGTAATGCATGTGCAGAACAAAACACGAACACGACTTATGTTCGCCCCTAATATGTATATTTGTTAGTATATAGTATATAAACATATGCATATTTGCATGCATTAGATGTACACTTTTATTACTCTTCTAAAAGCTATTAGCTTCTCTACAAAACTGTCGTTCGATTGTATAGTATACCTATTGAAGAGGAAGTTGCTGTTATTTTACGATTTCATTTACATATCTGTTTTTTTAATGATAGTAAATACAGGTAGAATTGGAATGGGTTTTCTTATTTTTATCATTTAATTATTAACATAGTGCCCAGTTATTTCTTTTTTTACAATGACATACAACTAATTCTGTTTTTACATCGACTTTTTGAACACGGTTTTGATTTAACACATTTAACATGTGAAAATAAAATATTGGAAATTTTTGTGCTCGATTTTATTCCATTTAGCACGATTCAAAATAACACAACACAAATAAATAAAAAAGACACAGCTCACAAACAGCTACAAACCATTCTTGTGTGGGTAGATGCCGAGCGAGCAAGAGAGAGTTCAGTTCAAATTTAAATTTATGTTCTGTATTTATGATTATCATATTAATTTTTTTTTTTTAAATTTTTTTACCTTAAAAATGGAATAACCTATCTTTTTTTTTAATAACATATCTGTTTTAATTCATTTAATATATCAGAAATTTCACAATTTGTTTTTATTTAATTTAATTTTTCACAATTTATTTTTATTTAATTTATCAGAAATTTCACAACTTAAATCTCGATTTGCCATCACTTAAGTACTTGGTATGAGAATCGCAGAGGAGGGCGGTCACAATATTTTTTTATTTTATTTAATATTTCCGAAATTTCACAAATTATTTTTATTTAATTTTTCAGAAATTTCACAACTTAAATCTCGATTTGCCATCACTTAAGTACTTGGTATGAGAATCGCAGAGGACGGCGGTCACAATATTTTTTTATTTAATTTATTTTATCAGAAATTTCTCACTTTATTTGCACAATACATAGAAAACATTTCTTCTAATATCTGTTTTCATTCTATTCAATTCTGCCTTCAATGCTGCCTTTTGCAGATTTTATAAATTTTTTTGAATTGTGTGTTAGATTGATTATAAATTAATTGCAATCGAATTAAGAGTATGATATGGAAAGTCGCCACTTGAGCCGCTTGAGAAGATACACTGAAAACAATGTTGTGATTATTACATATTATTTCTTATTTATTAGGGCTGCCGGAAAATCGATCAATGAATATTGTTACGATATTTATAAATATGTACATCTTATGCTGTTAAGTAACATATCTGTGTGTTTGTTTCCATAAAGCTCTACCAAATTAGAAAAACTAAAACACAATTTCACAGAATTACGACCTCTTTAAAATCTTTGCAAGTGCTCTTGACACCTACACGTGCAACCTCAATTTCCCTTGTTGTGAGTGGCGTTTATGTTCAATAACTGGTTGCACTTGCGCTGCACCTGCCATTCACATGACTCTTGTTCATTTCTGCTTAGCAGGATATTGTCAACATTTGTTTCCGTCTATGTAGACGAGGTGTAGAATAATATTGCTGGATAAATTTCTGTTTACATACACCGACACAAGAGTGCACGCAAACACAAACAAATGGCAAAGTGTTTTGCAGCCTGTTTGCTTCGTTGTGCAATTTCCGACCGACGATACGCGGCGTATACGTTACGTTGCTTTTGAGTAGAACAGAAACAATTAAGGTCGATTTTAATTGCATGCAAAACGAAAGGAGATAAATTTAGATATAGCTTAGTTATTTGTACCCTACATATTCTTAAATAATATAATATTATAATATTAGCAAACAAACCGGAAAATATTTTAATCGGAATTTCTAGTCATGAGTTTACCAGTAAATCCATCTGAATAAAAAAATAATTAGATGAATGCCCAAGGGCATAGTTCCTCAAACTTCTGTTTCCAAGCATTCAATATCTATACTAATATTATAAAGAGAAAAGATTTGATTGTTCGTTATATATAATTTAAAGATAAGGTAAGATAATTTAAGATTAAATTCCCACTCACAAGCTTCAATCCTTTAATCACTTAAATTTGAATCTCTGCATAAATTTCCTCAATTATGCTTCAAACATTTTCAGCAACCAAGTGAGTGTTTAACTAGTTAGATGTATAAACAAAGCATTAGAGCCAATTAACGATTTGCAAATCCTTAAGAACAACCGAAGAACAACACAATTTAGTTAATTGAACACACAAATGGGCTTTGCATAAATTACAGAAATGTTGGCAGTGAAAATGAAAAGTCACTGCTTTTTATCCAACAGCCAATTGATTAAAGATACGACGTCCTCGGCACAAATAATTGGTTTCCACGGCCAAGGTGTGTCCTATAAACAACCAAAGCTGCCGTTGGGGGTGTATGGGGGAGGTCTCATGCATAATACATTACGTTATCGAAATCAAAACATGTTTACCTTCAGCTCAGGAGTTGTCGAGTATGTCGTGACCGTTGGTGGTGCTCTTGACGCGCTACGAAGGCCACTCAGACAGGCAGCCAAATAAAATTGTTGTCCTGTTTGTGTGAGGACTAAAGGCGTGAAAATTTTTCATTTTCTTGGTGTCAAATGTTTAATAAATTGCATGTTTTCTTGCCGGTCAAAGCTAACCCTGAACAAACTCTGGACAATCAGTTGCTGCTCAAGTCGAAAATACTCGAAATGATCAATATTATTATCATTTGTTACACCTTAAAGGGCAGCTAACTGTGGTGCCTATAACTATACTGTAAAAGTTAAAGTTTTTATGACTCTAGCTCTTATATTTTTTAGGATCCTTACGTTCATACAGACAGGCGTAGATCTGTCTTTTAAATAACACTCCCATCATTAATTTGTTTTAGAACCGATAAATTTGAAAATTATCATATTTATGTAGTTAATTACATGAAGAACTATTTGGAGATTTACCGTCAGATTTAGTTAAAAGAGAATACATTTAAAATATTTATAAATGTATTTAAAATATAATTATATATTAGAATATAGAACAATTTTTAGATTTACCGTCAAATTTATTTAAAAGAGAATTCATTTAAAATATACATATATACTTGTATATGCATTTAAAATATAATTATATAATAGAATATACAAAAAGTGTGGAGTTAAATGAATACAAAATATTTATTGAATATTCTTTAAACACATTTTAACTCAAGAATCAGTGTTCAACCCATAATCTATTGCTTTCTCCAGAGGCATTGCTAACAAATAGAAACGTTAGTATTCAAATCATATCTCTTTTAACAGCAAATGAACTTTTCCATTTAAATTTGTTACTTTGCCATCAACTGACTTAGATTATTGAAAAGTTCATTTATAAATCGTTGCTCTAGATGCATAACAAATTAACCACTTATAAGGTCAGAGGACGCACTTTGAAGAGGTATCAAGGAAATTGAAGGCAAATACACGTACATATAGAATATTAATGAATAGCGTAATGTGGCCTTCTAGCCAGATGGCCAACACGGCCATAGACGCTTTTGCATTTGTAATGAGTACACAACCCTTGAACTTGCCACTTACTATAGTTAAAGAAAATGCAACTTTCAGGCACATTGCAACTAAAAAATACCTTAAATACGTTTCGTTTGTCTTTCGTTATATATAGTATAACTTCAGACGATGTGTTAGTTAGAAAGGAGCCCAATTAGTCTGCGCGACTTAATTACTCTCTGAACTCTGAAATAACAACAAGAAAATACTTACAAACACAAAAGCAGCTAATTAAAGTCATGAGCATATGTGTTTATCGAAAGAAGCTTTTTTTGTTTTTTTTTGGAAAACTCACACACTTGCAAAGCACAACTTTAGCAAATAATAAATGGTGGAAATGCTAAATAAAACTGAACATACTTGTAACTTTTAAAATAGTGAAGAAATATATTTTCAGTTGTCGGTTGTATACAATTTAAAAAAAAGAAAAACACTTCATCAACAAAGCATATAAGTATCTGAGAAAATTAAACAAGGCTAATTTCAAGTGAAAATGAAAATTAATTAGCTGACCCGCCAACATGAAATAATTGAAATATTTTATTAATACATTCAAATATACCTTGCGCTTTTGCCTACTTAGCGACACTTTTGGAAATGAAATATTTTAAATGTCACGTAGATTAAGAAAAAAAAACCATAAGCTTGCCGAAAGCTTGACGAAAGTCAACACCGTAGAATGTTAAACGCTATCATACCCTGAATTCCAGCTTTGAAATGGGCAGATTTATCATAATTTATATTTTCTTCTCTCTATTTATTTTATACCTATAATTAATTTTCGAATAACTAGATTATAAGAAATTTAATGTGTTCTTTTTAAAAAGTTGCAAAATATTTAATATTCTTCATGTACTTTTAGCTTGGTATACCTTTTCCATCAATATTTAATAACAAATAAGAGCCATTTCATAGTAATAGAAAACTAATTGTTTCTTATTTAATCCTGTATAGCAGAATAGCAATATACTTGTAGGCTATAAGTAAAACCTAGATTGACACTACATATCTCAAATTTTTGAAGTTGGATTTCACCTTTTTTGGTCAAAATCTGCCCAGTTCCTGAAATCTTAAGCCCCATGCTTAACTGCATTTTATAATTCTACCTTTTTTCTTCTTTGAATGTTTGCTAATCTTTCTATTTATCCAGCGATCCTATTCTAATTTTGAAGGTAGAATATGAGTAACTTGGATATTGTTCGCACTAGCCCATTAAATTGTGAAGCGTTGGTTACTTTAAGAGGACCGTATTTTTGCATTTTCTTCTTTAAAGTAAGCTGATATGTTTTTAAAGAACTTCCTTCACGCACAACTAACACATACGGCTGCTATTGCTCATCCACAGGACTGGATTATGGCATTTTCCCTTCTGACATCAATCTTCACCAGACCCTCGTTTAAGTGTATCGTTGTTCTATATACATATATTTAAGCAAAAATGAGTTGCTAAGATAGGGGGAAAAATGACCTTCTAGCAAAAGTGTGAATAATATTATAAACAATATTAATCATTTGCCACGTAGCAGCCACAGACTGACAAAAACTTTTGGCCATTGCACATGGCTCGCATACGAGATGAGCAGCACAACCGGAAAAGTTTTACAAATCTTTTCCAAGTCGTTGAAAAGTTGCCATTCATTATTAAGTTAACAAGATTTTGAAAAAAAAAGTTATCAACACATATTGAATTTGGCTTAAAAATAAATTGAATTCCATTCTAAATATGATTAAATTTTTGACAGCACGTCGGAAGGCTCTCTTATAAGAGTTGAGGCAATGGGTCAGTTGGCTAATAGGATTGTGACATTTGACACATACAAAAATTAGCATAGTCTGATAAATGTTTGCATAAAATTGTGCTTTGTCTCAGGGCCTTTTTGTTGTGTTAATGCCGGTTGTTTTTTCATTTGAGGGCCTTTTTGGGATACGCGTGCTAATGTGCTGATAATGCAAATGTATTACAAGTTATACGAAGACAAGCAAAATTAAACGACATTTTATTAATGCATTTGGGAATTTGGCTCGAATATAAGCACAAAGGAGTACACATTTTAAATAATTTTGTGCATAACAAGATGGGTTGCTTTGGATCCGTAGGTAGTTAAAGAAACTTTAAGCTTTGGCTTAATGGCGCTTTAAGTTAAGTCCGTCGCCATGCCTTGTAATATTGTAACGACAGAAGTTAAACTAAATGCCTAAATAAACAAAACAAAAAAGTCAGGCTAAGGACTCAGCATTTTTAATAGTACATTTTTAAAGCTTTAGTAAACCAAATTCAACTGGCTTTTGAAGCTAAAATTAATGATTTTTACAGCAAATTAAAAATGGAGACGAAGAATTATCGTTTAAAATTGCATGTTCTTTTAGGGTTATATAATCAAATACCTATTTTATCTATTTAATAGATCGACTAATAGAAAATGTGGCCAAAGATTATAAGAGAGAAGCAAATTAATCCTCACAGGCTAACAAACCGAAAAATATCTAATAACGCGTCCGACTCGTTGGGGGGAATTTGTATTTGCCCTTAAAACTTAGATCTAGCCAATGAATACTAATAAATAAAAATTAATTTATGAAAAAATTGCAAAGTGTCTAAAAAAAAAAGTTTAAATTAATTGTCTTAAAAAAAAAATTTTAAATCTGTAAGCCGATAGGGAAATATTTATTAGACAGTCAAAGAGTTAGTAAAACAGTTTGTAAAATATTTTTCTGCATTTATATGTTGACTGAAATAATTATATATACTTGTAGTACATATTTATATAGAAACACTCCGTATGGGTAGCTTAAGACGTTCGTTTTAACACTTCATCAGCTTCTAAGCCTTAACTTTGATTCCACAGCCAAGCTTAGTGTTGATACCAAAGCAACACACCTACGCTTAAAAGTATTTAAAAGTTTAATTGAAAAAATCACAAATGGTGCGTGGTTAATCAACTAACACAACAGAAATCGATAAAGGAACAAAAATAAACAGAAAGAAAACTAAATTAAACAAAAGGGGAAATGGATAAGTCTGCCCAGAAGTCAGTCATTTAGGTCTTTGATTTAAAAAAAAAAACAAGGTTTAGTCATTATTTACGATTGTCATTAAATATGATTACTTATCTTATTTTACACTTTGTTAATAAACCATTAATATATTAGCAAGTTATTAAAATTTAAAACAAATACAACCCAAATATTTTCAATTAAAGACGATTATCTGTCCAAGGGAAGGAATAAGAAATAAGCAATAATAAAGAAACCTCGATTACTGACACAAGAGTTTAATTTAAAATATTGAATTAAAAGGAAATGTATATTACCATTTTACTATTACATATAAATAAACATCAAAATATATTTAAGATATAATATCAGACTATAGACCTTTGAAAATCTACTTCCTGGTGTTTAAATAATATGCATTCGCATTGTATGATAATACTTATAATGGCCTGATCCGAATGAAACTACCAGCTTACCCAAGAATGTTCTTTAGAAATGATAGAATCAAGGCACCCATCAAATTATAATTAAATACATTTATTTTCATTGCTTTTCAGTTACATTTTAGTTGTTGTTCCTATGCATTCGCTTAAATTTTACACAAAGTACACTTTAGTGATAGACAAATCGGTTGAGTATATGCACTTTCATTTGTATATGCAGATAATAAATATACGCATGCCTGCAAAAGTGCCTGGAAACATGTTTACTTGAAGGAGACTTTACATTCATATTTTTTATTGTTTGTTTTTTCAGTTGTTTGCGTGGAAAACAGTTATTCTTAAATATTTATGTGTATATCGAGAAATGCACACAACTTTCTTAAAGTTTATTATTAATCATCATTTGAAATTTTATGTTAAACATATGCAATGGCATTTAAAGAACTGACTTGACTTTTGTGGTACTACGACGACTTACAGCAAAATAGGCGAGAATTGCGCTCTTTTACACACATGCAACTTGGATTGTATCAAAAATACTTTATACGGCTCATTTACATAAATTTGATTACAAAAATATTTATCTTAATACCGTTAACACAAAAATACTTTATGGATTTTGGAAAAATATTCAATTCTGAAGTATATGTAATTTACAAGAATTTTAACAAATGATAAAACCATACGGTTATATGCCAAAGTTTGACTGTGTGTTTGTGTGTATATTTATATATATGTAAAAGGTATATATGCTTTATGCCCAATCCTTTTTGATCTCGAAGGTCCAGTCCCATTTCAAATGTATGTGCTTATCATCATCCGTAAAGACCGATGTTACCGAATAAGTGCCACGTGAGACCATACCCGAAGGCGCCTCTTCGGCCGGCGTCAAGTAGAATTGTATTTCCTTTTTGGGCGGATACGAGCCAACCATATGAGTCATCTTATCAACTGTGTGCGATAGAAAATTGTGAATATCCATTAGTTCTATAGGTCTATGTTAATTAGCTGATTGGATAAGTTCTTACCCACAACTAAAAGCAACGCAAAAAACATCCGAAAAGGGTGAATTGAAAGGCGTTAAATATACAAACAAGTAACGCATTAAATTTACAACTAACACATTATTATTGCAAATATGGCAAATGTTATAAACAAAATGTAAGCTACACTGCCCAGACCACACAGCAGGGCCGTCCCATTAAAGCCTCCGTTACGCATTTCGACCGTGTGGCTTCAACAAAAGTAGTTCAATTACTAAACGGCACCATTCACCAATGGCCGAGTAAAATGCATATGCCAAGAAGGCCTTAAAGTGCAACTGTAAAGACGAACTGAGTTCTATATAGAACACAAATTCAACTAGTGATGGACCATAAAATGCAGTGAAACCGATACGTGGATCGTATTTGTAAACCAAATGACAAACATTCGAAAGAGTAGATAAAATCCACAAAATGGTGTTTGAAATGAGTTTATGACCGGAAAAAGGGAGGTAGTCTAATTGCGTTTTGACTGCACGCTATTTATGTACATCATACATTTTATATATGAACAATTTGAAACGACTACATCTCAAGGTTAACTAAATTTTAGTTGAGTCTCTTATAGTAACACTTTATTCATAGTACCTTTAGCTTATGTAATTATTAATTAAAGGCAACCCAAATCATCAATAATTGAATACTAGTTTAGAAGTCAGCATAATTGCTTATTAAATACCATAATGCTTTCTATAATCAGCGACAGTTTTCACACTCACCCGGCACACCCATGCGATAGGTCTTCTGCACATACTTAAGCCCGTGCACAATTTCGCGTTGAACAATAAAATCAATGCGCACCTTGTACTGAACACCTTCCTTGATCACAAAGAGCTGTATAAGGAAACAAAGAGAAAAAATACGTTAATTTTGGGTAAGTCTGTGATATGCGACGTTGAGATTTACCTGTTTTTTCAACTGACTAATATCGCCGCTTAGATCCAATTCCATATCGTCACGTCCTTCAACGACAAGCGCCAATTTCTTGACAATCACCTTTCTCAAGTCGTTGGGATCTATAAATGAAATTAAGAATATAAGTTATAGATGGATTTCTAGAACTCCCTTCCTCACACTTACCAACAACTATCTTTTCGGCTTGTGCCGCACCCAAAAGCGCCTCTTTATAACGACGCAAGCTCTCATCTTCCTGATCGGCAGCCATTATCTCCTCAATCGATTTTACTGGGGGCGCTTGATAGTTGGCATCATGTACATCTTCATCATGATGTCCGTCTTGATGTTGTTGCGTCTCTGTTTCAGCCATGATTTTTAGAGTGGACTGCGGAAAATAAGCGTTCATGTAAATGTGCACGATTTAAAGAAATTGTAATTTCTCACAAAAATATACTTTAATAAAACAACACATTAATATTGGTTATCAAGAATAGCGTTGAGAATGCGGGCCATGAATAATTCATATTTTTCTAGCGTTATATATGAAAAAAATCCAATGATTCAAATCAAAATGAGGAATCAAATAAACAAGAAAAAGAACAATAAAAGAATTGTAGATAAAGAAAATTATAAGTTTAATGAATTAATAATTTAAAAACGCGAGTAGCCTATATTTTGACAATATTTTTAGATACATTGGGGTAATTATTTTAAGTTTGGAATTAAAATACTTGCATAAATTCTGCAAAAATAACAACCATAATATCCATAATATTTGAGATAAAGGACAGAGTTTACAAACATACAGGGCATTTGCTAATACATCAATATACAACATCAAAATTCCACAACTATAAACGATTTTTTGTTGGAAATTCAAATAATATTAATTTACAGTAAAATTTTGTTTTGTGACCGTATCTTATCGGAAAATATTTGGAATGATATAATTCTTGGTTGGTAAGTTGAAAGCACTTTAAAAATAATGATAATATATATGTATGTAACTATATCAATGAAACTGAACAGCGCCTTTATGTGTACATCTTTATACTTATTTGTTGGCCTTTTTTCATTCAACTCAATTTTTTCTAGAATATGTATTGATTAAATTCCAATTATTAACGCTCAAGTGAACGGCGTTTGGTAGCGTTAATGCCAATCAGGCAGCCAACGCCGAAACACTCAGCTAGCCACATACAAGACGCGCCAACCAAATACGGCCCCACAAAGCAGATAAGGCAAAAACATATTCCCAAACATACACATATGTATATACACACACTCATAAATATATACATATGTATATGTATGTGTGCCTGTATATATAAGTATAAAGGGTGAGAGACCCGCATCGAACAATATTGACCACAATGGGTGACTGCTGAACCCCCGGGCCTCACTTCCCTCCGACACGCCCCATTGTGTTATATATCTAGCTGGTGTTTTTGTTTCCATTATCTTGGGCTGTTATTGCTTTTCATTATCTAAATACACGTCGCCCGTTTGCCTTCTAACCATTTCCATGTTCGTATGCTTGTGTATATGAGTGTGTTTGCGTGTGTAGAGCGATTTTTCCAATTATAACCCGCCAACTGTACGGCTTAAAGGGTTTCCTTGACTGTTTGTCGAGGCTTGTTTTGACCAAATACAATATATACATACTAGAGATGGGCACGGGCCGGCTATTTTCGGCCCGACACGACACGGCCACGAAATTAACTTTTAGAAACACGCACGCGCACGCACGACGAAAATTTTTCTTAACACGGCCCAACACGGCCCAACACGAACTTTTTATATATTAACAAGAAAGGAATGCTAAAGTCGAGCAGGCTCAACTCTTAAATACCCTGTACCACCCCACAAAAAAGTAATTAAATTAATTTAATTAAATTAATTAATTAATTTAATTTAATTATTTAACTAAATTAATTTAATTAATTAACTAAATTAAATATAAAATATTTCATGCATGCATAGATACATTTACATTTACATCAGAATCGTGCCTTATGCGTGTTTGTGTACTTGTACATATGTATGTATGTGTGCATTGGGCCTGGTTATATGGCTATAACTTTCTTTCCGATCATTCTTTCATAATGAAACTTGGTATACGGATATATAATTACTAACCTAATGTGACTACCAAATTTTAGTTCAAAATTCCAAGAATTACGGGAGTTATAGAAAATCGTTAATAGGGGGGGAGTGGGGGGGTGGATCAGAAAAAATGAACAAACTCGTCCTTTCTCGGTCTCAGGAGAATCTGTATACCAAGTTTGGTTATTCTAGCTCTTATACTTTCGGAGATCCTTGCGTTCATACAGACAGACGGACAGACAGACGGACAGACAGACGGACAGACAGACGGACAGACAGACGGACAGACAGACGGACAGACGGACATGGCTATATCGACTCGGCTTGTCATGCTGATCAAGAATATATATACTTTGTGGGGTCTACCAAGCCTCCTTCTGTGTGTTCCATGTGCACTCGCACAAAACTAATATACCCTTGTACCCTTTGGGTACAGGGTATAAATATACAAATTTAAAAAAAAACAAAAAAAAAAATATATATATATATATATAAACATTACAAATTTTTATTCAGAAAGATTATGTTATCAATATTTGAGCTAAGAAGCCGAGTACGTCGCTCATTTAAAATATGTCCAGAAGTGGAAAAAACTCGTTCGCTTGTTGCAGAGCTGACAGGGATATTGAGTATATGCCTTGATAATTGCCTTAGCATTTTAAATTTTGTTGCTTTTTTCCAGAATGTTAGCACACAAATTCCTGGATCAACAACACTACTTTTATAGTCATCTATTTCAATATCCATTCTTGACCTGTCCAATTTAATTTTTTTTTTTTTTTTGAATTATTAATGTCAAAAAATTCAGAAAAGTCGTGTTGACTATTGGGTGCTTCGTTTTCTGATTCAAGTGTTAAATCGTTATTTAAGCTATCATTTATTTCAGCTAGCATCGATTTTAGTGTTCTTTCGTGTTTCCTCGTGCGTGTTTTGTCGTGCCTTTTTGGCTCAACACGAACACGCACGGCCACGCACGAAATCGGAATTTACAACACGAACACGCGGGCCCACGCGTGGCACGAAGTGCCACGACAAAAAACACGGCCCGTGCCCAACTCTAATACATACGTATACGTAATGTTCCGATGCATGTACATATTAATTTTAAATGTTATTGTCAAGCTGTTGTCGATTATTCTGTTGTTGTTGTTCTTGTTGTTATTGTTGTTATTGTTACTTTTGTTGCGCGCCGTCAACGACAACGAGATAATAAAAATGTATTTTTATACAACTCATGTGAAATTTGTTTATTATTGCTGGCTATGTCCATGTAGAGAATTTTAGATTATTATGTATACGCTCATACATACTTACGTATGTTCATAGTTTTATACACAGTTTTATACACAATATTCCAACAAAAAAAGTGCAAAAACCAACGCAAACATTCTCAATGGTATTCAAAAGGTAACACAAAGAAAATTAATTGAGTGTGAATACAAGAGAAGGCAAAACCAATAACAAACGCAACATTTAATAACAATTACCAAAGAAAATGTTCAAACACACAGTTCGCACAACGATTCGACCAACAAGGTAAATAAAAACCAAGGAGGCGAACCAGCAGAAAGCAACAAAAACCCCCGCACATCTACACATTTAATATGCATGTACATATATGTACATATGTATGTATGTACACAAATAGCATACAGAATACCCCCCGCCAGAGTGTTCAAAATCTGATGTGAGGGGATTCAAAGAAAAGTGTGCGCCGATGACGCCGACTGCTAGTGCGTGTGTGATAAAGAAATGCACAGAAAAATAGCCGCGCCGCAGAAGTCGCATGAATCACAAACACCAATACACATGCAAACGCACACACGCACACTAAACCGGCAAAAGAAAAACTTTTGGCTTATTGGCGCACAAGATTTTAGGAGTGGTTGCTACTTAACATACGTGTATATGAAAAGATATGCAAATGTGAAGAAAAACATAATTCACATAGATATAAATAATAGCGTTATTGAATTTCGCTGATACATTTCACACATATTTACATACACACACACACAACGTCAATATCGCTCACTCACCTTTAAGGTTTTAAATAAAGTTGCGTCTAATAGAAGCAAAATATCACTACTCACAAGTTTATATGAACACACGCAACAATTACAATTGATTTTGTTAAATAAAAGCAATTTTAAAATAGATAAAGCGGAAAAACACACAGCGCAAACAAGAACGACGAAACACAAGTGATGAACTGAAAAGGCGGACTGCCAACTTGTATTTACAAATCACACTTAACTGGCCCCTTTAAAGCAAGGTGGCAACACTGCAAGACACAGCTGTTTACTGATTACTTCATCACCATCTATCAAGAAGGAAAACAAGCTGTGGTAAGGACATTTCGACAATATGCAGACGTCACAATATCTAAATCAACTACACACCGCTGATAAGTTGGCCGAGGAACCATGGCCCGAAGATGCCACTCTCTATCAGCCATACGAAGCGGAACAGATTCTGTTGCCGGAAAACGCGAGCTGCCTGGCCGTAAAAGCCTACTTAAAAATGTGCAATTTACCCTTTTCGGTGCGCTCCTGTGCCAATGCAGAGCACATGTCACCGGGCGGACGCATGACTAAATTACCATTTATACGTGCGGGCGCATTTATATTCGCCGAATTTGAGCCGATCGTCAATTTTGTGGAGCAGAAAGACATGGCGATTGGAAGCTGGCAGGACGAGGATGAGAAGGCCGATATGCGTACATACGTCTCGCTTGTCGAAAATATTTTCACTATGGCCGAGATGTATGTGAGCTTTAAGAACGAGCGCGTCTATAAAGAGGTGACTGCCCCACGAAACGGAGTTGTCTTCCCCTGGCCATTGAACCTGATGCAGAACTATAGCAAACGTCGAAATGCGCTGCGTTTACTAAAAGTCTATCAATGGCACGATTTGGAAATAGATGACGTAATTGAAAAGGTGGCCAAATGCTGTGAGACGCTCGAGTACAAGCTGAAGGAATCTCCCGAAACGCCTTTTTTCTACGGCGATCAGCCATGTGAATTGGATGCCATTGCGTTTGGTCACCTGTTCTCTATACTGACCACCAACTTACCTAACATGGCATTGGCACAAACTGTCCAACAGTTTAAGCACCTGGTTGAGTTTTGCCGCTTCATCGATGAGAAATACTTTCAGAGGAGGTCCTTAGAAATTAGTTAAATAGCTTCAAATGCACACGCTTGCTTTCATACACTTGTAGTTGTTAAAGCAAAAGTTTTCACGGTGCCTAAAGAGTTGCTTTTTATTCTTTATATATACATATCCGTAAATACTTAAATGCAAAACCAATGAACAATTTTTTTAGATAATTAATTTGCTTTAACTCGATGACCATTGCATTGTAAAAATGTATTTTTCCGCATTTCAAGGCATTTTTTACTTTGCTTTTTATTCCTACCTATACGCTTTATCACGTTGTTTGGAATTTTACTTGAAAATTGCAAATATATAGTATATGCCATATACTCGTACATACACTTAACCAATCTTTTAAAATACAAACGGTGAACTTTATTTTCCTGACGTACTTGTCTTTCAGCAACTAAATTGCGTTCGTTGGATAAATCAACATTTGGACCAGTCGACAAAGCATAGAAGCTTGGATCTTTATAAATGTTATCATGTGTTATTGTTATAATATAATTACTGTCTGTTAGTCTACGCATAAAATTGGAAAACTACTTTCCACACTACTATTTTAAAGGGATTGACATTCATGCTAGCGGAAATAACATTTCAACTGAAAGGAATAATTTTAGTAAGCCTGAAGTTATAGTTGTAAGCCCATCTAATGGCGAATTTCGCCGGATTTCGTATACTCGAAGATCAGGGGAGCTCAATGTATTTATACCCAATATATGAATAAAATGATGTTGAAGTACTGAAGAGCGTCATCTCAGAACATCTTTCGATTATTTCCATAAGCAATATTCTTTCGTTCATTTTAAAAAATCGGTTAATACCTTTATGGACGAGGATTTCCATCAAAAAATTTGTGATTCTAGTTTTTATTTCTCGAAATTTACGCATATAATTATTGCTACAAACTCTTAGAGAGCCTGCAAAGACGTCTGCATTATCAGCAAAATATGTATCTATCAGTGGGGCCTTTCGCGCCTCCATTTTTCCCTTGAGATAGAAGGTGTGTCAGTGCCCGCGTTTGGGCACGAATTAAACAATATTTTTGCACTATAAAAATATATGCAAATTTTTTATTATACGACTTGAATTCATTTGTTTTTAGATGCTAGCTTGTGTGGTGAACTAAAGTGATAAGATGTATGTATGTACTGTACGTACGTACTCGTAAGTAGATCGGGTGTTTGCGTTTTAATTGCCCATTAAGCTCGCATCATTTTTAGGTCACTTACAAAATAGACTCGCTTAGGTTTAAAATTTTGTTATATACTCTGCGCTAATTACAATTTCAGTATGCCTTCAATGGGCCAATAATAATATAGAGACCAAAATGTACATATACGTAATTATTTTTGATGATTTTGTCATAATAGTCACTTTAACTAATATAGTATGTAATTATAAAAAATGTATTATATCATTGGATAAAACACAAAAATTGTTGCATGAAACATGGTATTAACAATTTTTAAGTATTCTTTTAGACGTCGAAATTCTACAAAATTAACTACACATTTTTGACATTATTATTTATGTAAGTGGGGGTAATTCCATAATCGAGTGAAAACTTTTTGCTTTAATTTTTTTTTTTTACAAATTTTCAACGCTATAAGCTGTTATATAAGTGGCTAAATGTGCCAACTTTTCAATTTACACACAAAATAATAATTATAATAAAACTGATGATATTTTTGTATGTATAATAATAATGAATTTTAAAACATTGCCCCAATTGCAAACACAAACAGCAAAAACGTTGCTTAGGTGCGTCAGAAAAACAGAAAGTCGCGCTATCGAGTTACTTGTATACCAGCGATCGAAAAGAGCGGCAACGGCATTTATATCGATGTGGACGTCAGCCGTCACATTTGTGTCAGCGCCTCTCGTATTTGGCCGGCATCGAGAGTCGCGTACGCAGTCCATGCGCCTGCGCAGACGTTGTGCCCCCGCTCCCACCCCCTCCCGAATTGTTTGCCTTCATGTTGCTATTGCGCTCCGTTGTAGAGCGTCGTCGAGTTATTAACCGTTTGTTACTATTTGGCAGTGAATGATGGTTGTTATTGCTTTTGTTGCTTCCGCTGGAAATTGTGGAATTCCGTGTCACAGTGCTGCCGCCAACTCCATGATCACTATATCGCAGACGTTTGGTCAGAGCTCCAGCGGGAGATGCGTTGTCTGGACATGGGAAGGATGGTATGTGGAATTAGCAATGGCTTGAAAATTTGAACAACGAATGCATTTCATATTTTTTCTCTAACTAGCTTAGCTTAGGGTCTGGTCAGGCTCTCAATTGGCGATAGCATCGGCGCAGATTTGTGTGGACGCCGCTGCTATAATTTCTACAACCTCAACATCATCAACATCTTCATCTTCATTATCATCGCCATCTTCAACCTCATTAACTTCTTCATAATCAGGCACATCCGACATCGACGCCATTGACTCCCCTTGTTCCACATCAGCCATTGCTGCTGCTGTTGCTGTTATTGTAGAGTGTACGCCAAAAAAAAACAAAACAAAAATAAAATCAAAGAGAAAGAGAAAAATTTGACACTTTGGCCATATAGTTCTTTTTTGTTTGTTAAGATTTTGAATTGGAAATTTTGAAGATTTTGTTTTTTTGTAACGCTTTTTTTCTGTGGATATGACGACCATGACTGACTGACTGGTGAATCCAACTGCCACGATAGTGAGTAAGCATGTAAGTGTGTTTGTGTGCTGTGTATTTATACAGTAGCCAAGCATTTAGTAATAGCATTCAATATACTTGTATTAACGTTTGTAGCAAAAAAGTTAAAGAACATGTTTAAATTATGGTCAACCAATTTGTCCAGCTTCACAAGTATGTCATACAACTAGATTTATTTTCGACTGGTCGCTAAATTTAAGGTTATTTCACTGGTTCTCATATTAAGTTTCTCAATTTCAGAGAATTATTATATTGGCATTTGTTCTTGCTATTTTCTATTTGAAAAACGTTAAAGATTTATCAATCCTGTACATTTATCAATCATGATTGAAAAGAATCGAAATAGACTTGAGATCATAGAACCACTAAACAGTACCTAGAATTTTACACCTTAGATACTATATATGGATACATACATCGTTATTCAACTAAATGTGTTAATTACGCAAGTAATTGCTATACTATCTTTGGATAAAGAGAGGTCTCACTAATTTTAGTGTTTCTCAGGGTTCGAAATTGGCTTTCGATTTCAATGGATTTAAAAAAAAAAAAAAAACATTGAAACTTGAATCAAGAAAAATAGTCAATGGCGAGTTCTAAATATATTCCGAAATACTGGTACTCCTTTTCAATACACACACGTGAATTAATAAATACTTGTAATATATTTTTTTGCCGATGCAACAATTCATCTGCTTTGTACCAATTGCTTGTTATCTCTCATAAAATTCGTAGTTAAAGTTTCAGTATAACTCTCAATCGTGGATTAGATGTGGAAGCTATGAAGATGAAGCTCCGCATGATAGTTATCGAGTGCTATTATGATAATGATGATGATGGGGATGATTCTAGTATTATTGATTGTATGTACGAGGAATTCGCTGACTATGCAACTAATGAATATAGAAAGAGCAGATACTAAGAGGTGGTCGACATCCTCACCGCTTACCTTTTGCACTGAGCTTGCGTTTTGGCAAGGTGGCGCTTCGACTTTCCGGTGCACTTAGCCTTGCTCCGCTGAAGCTTCGTTTAAGTCCATGATCCGAACGACGCTCGCGCATGTTAGCCAACGGCTGGTCGGCGCTCTTCTTCGCCACATTCTTGCTGTTGCTAGTGCCAGCGGCCCCATTTCCAGCTGTGCTGTCCAAAGATACTGTTGACGACAGTGCCGCAGTTGAGGATGAGGTGGCTCGTTTAATATTAGCCGGCATGCGCTTTGGTGGCTGCATTGCGCCAGATGCGCCACTTCCACTGGCAGTTGCAGTGGCACCATCGCCTGCACCTGACGCAGTGCTCTGCTTTTGTGGCGACTTATGTTTCTGCTCGTCCTGCTTCTTATGCATGCCCACTTCCAGCCAGTACTTAAGTTGCGCCTCACGCTGTCGCTGCATCAACTCCTGACCGGCAGCGTATCTGCTCAAGAGCCCCTGCAGCTTCTGCACAGTTTTGTAGACCGTGTCCGCTGCAATCAGGCCGTAGTCGAAGAGCGAACACATGTGCAGAATAAAATTGCGATAGAGATTCTTGCGCACAATCTCGTGCCCCTTGGCATCGAGGAACATTTCACATGCTAGTGGCAGTTGACAGTCGCCGACGAAGCCGTTACGCATCACATGCAAATTCCACAGCTTCATCAGCTCCTTCTCGCCCTCATTGACATCAGAGAACTCGTCAATCATTTGAATGGTCTTTTGACGCAGCCAAAGCGGATCACTCTCGCCCTCAGAGTCAATATCCAGCTCTTTAGGATGGACAGGCAGGCAAGTCTCCGTGTGATGGTATAACCTGAAATTAATCGTTATATTATTGAGTGGCTGAGGCGAAGTAAGGAACTGCCTTAATTTAATTGATAAAACAATTGTTAAAACAACAACGCATTGTTACAACAATTTGGCACAACATCTTTCGATATTAAGAAACTAAGATGTATATAATAAGAAGCAAACATATATGGATCTTTAGATCAATTTAATATTTCTATTTCTTGAAACGATATATTTCTTATCAAATAAGCATTTATCCAACTGGTTTGTTCACTTACCTATTGTGGCCAGTAATGTATGACCGTTGGTTGGTTATGTCATCCTCATCTAGCTCCAAAAACTCATCAAGACACGTCTTTTGGCGACGTGGTCGACACACCATTAAGCTAGTCACCGATGTGCGACGCACGGGACCACAGGTGCGAGCGAAAGACGAACCTGAGGGTCCAGCCAAATCGTAAGGTGAGCCTGCATATGAGCCATCGTATGCATCATTGATTGTCACATCGATGCGAGCCCCATTGCCCGCTGGCTGGTAGGTGAAGTTGAAGCGTGCGTGACAAAGCTTTAAATGCTTAAGCAGGGCATAGAGACGCAGACAGTCTAGACCACACCATGGGCAGTTCAACTCCTGGGTATATTCCGTTTGCTGACGCGTATTGTTGCTGTACATGAAATTGTATACGATTTGAATGTGCTCCGGCGTAGATTTGCAGATGACGCCGTTGTTATTGCCATTCTTGTGGCTGCAATTGTTGTTGTCAGCATCCACATCGAGTGCCGATGTCGTGTAGTTCAGATGCGTGACGTAACGCTGCAGCTCCGGCGCGGCTATGACTGACGGTAGCTCTTCATTGGACAGGGTCAAGTGGAATTTTAGCATGGGACTCTGCTGGTACACGTCGTATGTCAGCGAGAGGGGAATGTAGCTGTCCGGCATGGTCTCCCAGGTGCATTTCTTTGGTGAGAAGGATTTAATGCTGGACGAGTTGAGCGGTTGCAGCATGGCCTCATATTCGCCCTCGGTAATGAAACCGCTGGACTTTTCATAAAGTATCAGCTCGGAGCCATACATCTTCTCATTGCTGCGTGAGCGTTTGTTTGGTGTGGCTGCTGCGTGTATGCAATTATTTGTACTACCAGAACTGATATTATCAGTTATATGGTTAGAACCCACTTACCTGCATTCTCATCGTTGCATGCCGCCTGCAGCATCTTAATGCGAAAGAGCAGCTTGTAAAGCGTATGCTGCTCACCCATTGGTCGCATGGTTTGTAAAGGTATGCTGATTGTGGCATGCTCGCCAATCCGCTCCTTCGGATTATATACGATTTGCGAGCTCTTGCTCTACAAAACACAACGGGACATTATCAAACAAGTTAGTTGTAGGATAGTATTCAGACACTCACCAGCAGCTCCTGAAAGTCCAGAGTGCTATCCTTGCGCTTACTGCGTGTTATCTTGTACAGTGTGGTCTCCACGCACACATTTTCTCCCGCCTGGCAGAGGAGCTGCTCCTGCAGTTCCAGCTCCGTTTGTTCCGACTTGAGCTTCTCGTGCAGTGAATCGTAGATTATGTGCAGGTAGTTTTGTGTCACAGCTTCAGACTTTTGCATTATTCTGTCCAGTATGGAGTTGATTTTGAATGTCGCGCGATTTTTGTTGTTTCGCGACATCCGCTCCTTCATGTAGCTAAGAGTACGATTCAAAAAAATTGGCTGCAACAAGCAAAATGGCTTAGTTGTTGTGGCAAGGAAATAGACCGTAAACATATCACTTACGTTTGTCTCATGACGATTTCGTAGATAGCGGTAGATCTGCGTGGGCTCTAAAAAATGAACAACAATTAATTGAATGCCAACACATCACTTGCCTTACATACTTTCAAATGCCTGCAAAAAGAGTTCCTGCTCTTGTTGATGTCCATTAAGCTTAACGGATTCAGCTGTTGACACATTCACAGGCACAGCCACCCCCGCCACCGAAGCAGCCGTTGGCGTCATTGCCCCACCATTTGTTGCAGACGGAGTTGTTGGTGTACTTGCACAGCCATGTTGTCCGTTGGTCCCATTTGTGTTAACTGCAGTGCCAGAGCCATCTGGACTTTCCTTTTCGCGTTTTTTTGTTGGTGCCATTGTGCAAACGAGTGTGGGTGTCTGTGTCTGGACTATTTGTCAAACGCCGCTTGCTCACTCCTCACACACATGCACTCACACCCAACCGCACACTTCGCTGCTGCTTCTGGTGCTGCCCTTACCGCAAGATTTTTGCGCTCAATACGGCTGCACTGAAGTGTTAGCACATTTTTTACATATGCATGTTGCGTTGGCGAATCAACATCAACTTTTAAATATTTTCGCGTGTTTAGTATGTTTTTGCTGTTTTCTTTTTCGGCGCGAAACCTTCTGCTTTGTTGCAGCGTTACTGGTGTTGTTAAGGACGCATTGCACGTGGAGCTGCCAACCTAGTGATCTTCAGTGTTGTTAAATGGAGACAGGTCTTAAGTTAACATAGCGTTAACAGCACATAAGAATATGAAAAGTATTTCTTAACATAGCAGTATATATAATATAACTTTTTATATGCATCGATAACGATAGGAAGACTTCGATTTTAATTGTCGCGTGTGGTCGCATGCACCTGAGAGTAAATCAATTGCAATTGTATTGCATTTTATTTGGAATAACGTCCACAATACATTTTTTGTAAATACAGGTGTGTAAAATAACGAGGTTGCGTTTCTGTAATATGGTTAAAAGCATGGAAATATAAGCCCGCCAATAGGCGGTCTTAACATATACATATACACACACTGACACATTCATAAAATATTTATATTGTTTTATTATCTTGCAGCAAATTTTTTGGCAAAAGTTCTAAAAACTATTGAATAAAATCGAACAATATGGACAAAAACAGTGCAGCGTTGTACAAAAAAATGCAAACTGAAGTAGAGGCTTATCAGAATCTCCAGAAGGGTAAGAAAACAAAAATGAATGAAGTTTTTTGCTAAGAAATGTAAATATTTATCCCGCAGCTTGCGTTAAGGTGGTCAAGCAACGAGCACTTCTAGAGAGCCAGTTAAGTGAAAATAAGTGTGTGCTGGACGAACTCAAATTGCTTGGGGCGGAAAATAAAGTCTACAAGTTATTTGGCCCTGTCATGGTTAAACAAGATCTGGATGAATCTCGTCAAAACGTGGGCAAACGCATAGACTATATCTCCAAGGAGCTGAAGAATTCAAATGATTCTCTCGAAACCATGGAAAGGGATATGATGAAGCATCGTGAAACAATGACTAAGTACCAACAGCAATGGCAGGTGGCGGCGGCCATGAAGTGAACTATTTATATTTAATAAACAATGTGTACGATTTATGCACATTTTATTTATCAAGCTAGCAGTTCATTCAATGAGGGAGCGAATGATATTCATCCACATAAAAAAGCATTTAAAATAAAGTTGACAGAAAAATGTGTTGTGCCAGCTGTTTTGCCAGATGGGTCAGTGTATTATTCCACCTATCGATAGTAGGTTCCTGTGAAAATCGACATAAGCTTCATATGATTATCGTTGCTTTTTATTTATTTATGTAATGCATTGGTATTATGATTAGCATTCAATGTGTACAATAAATCACATTAGACAAGCACTGAAGTTACATCTTAAAATAACAAAAACGACAACATTTCGAAGGATAGAAGCTTAGACAATCGGTCACACCGGTATTCGAATAGGAATATTCCCATGACCGAACTTTTCTAAATTCAAAATAAGAAGGCTTTATCCGCCACAAATCCTAAATATGTATATATACATACATATTGTATATATAAAACATTTGCTTTAATGTATCAATATGTTTTCTTTTTATTTTAAACAACACAGTTCCAGAAAGAGGCCTAATTGGGCGCACTAGAACAAGTCCGTTGCTACGAATATATTTCGCGGCAAGTAAAATTTTTACATTTCATCCGTACTTGTACTCATTTTTTGCGATGTCACTCTGAGTATTTCGTCTTTCATTTTCAAAGGGCATGAAATACTTGCGATACCAAGTAATATCTTTCGAACACTTTTTTGTGCTTGAATCAGAATTGCCACGAAGAGCAGAATTTGTTTAGTGCCTGATTAAATTAATTACAAAATTATATTTTAAAGACAAACACTAATAAAAGCCAAGCGCGATGGGCTCGAGTCAAAGCGTGCATATACCTGGCGGTGGCACCGAAGGTATGTACATAAACAACCACGTATGCGGCCCAATTAGAACCAATCACATATTACACACATACAAATGCACCCACGTACACATTGAATAAACATACTTTTCTTTTGACCATACAATACAGGCTACCACGTACTTAAAGTCCAGGACAATTCACCGGGCCAGAAGGCCGGCTTGGAGGCATTCTTCGACTTTATCGTGGCCATAGCAGGCACCCGTCTCGATCAAGACAACGATATGCTGAAGGAGTTGCTTCGGCAGAATGTCGACAAGGCAGTGCGACTGACAGTATATTCGAGCAAAACGCAAACGGTACGGGAACTAACGTTAACGCCCAGCAACAACTGGGGTGGTCAAGGCTTACTAGGAGTTAGCATACGGTTCTGTTCGTTCGAGGGCGCTAACGAGAGTGTCTGGCACATACTGGAGGTGCATCCGAACTCGCCGGCCGAGCTAGCTGGCCTGCGCGCCTATAGCGACTATGTAATTGGCGCCGACGCGATACGCCACGAGAATGACGACCTCTTCACGCTGATCGAGATGCACGAGCAGCAGCCGCTGAAGATGTACGTCTATAATCTTGACGACGATGCCTGCCGTGAGGTGACGATCAAGCCAAATACTGCCTGGGGTGGTGAGGGCGCACTTGGTTGTGGCATTGGCTATGGCTATCTGCATCGCATTCCTGTTCAACCCGCTCCACCAGCACCAACGGCATCCACAGCAGCTGCGCCCGTAGCTGCGACCGGAGCCGCAACTACGATAGGTGCTCCAACAGTGGCCGCAGCGAGTGCCGTCGTGGCACCAACGCTTCCATATATACCGCCACTGGCAAATACGTTCGGCTCAACAAATGCCGAAATAAAGCCGCCAACTATTGATCCTCCGGCACAGAGCCTTTTTAAGGCCTATTTCAATCCTGATGATGGATCGGATCCAGTTACAGCAGCTCTAGAAACACAAAGAGGTGCCGATGGGCAGTCTTCTGCCGTTGCAGCCTCCCCATCTGAAATAATTTCACCACCACCGCCTGCAGAAACAGCTGCAGCAACCGCAGTCACTGTCGCCGCGCCAGGACCCATTGCTACACCGGTTGTTGCAGATGCTCAGCCCGTTCCACCACCAGCTAACATCTTTATACCCGGCGTTTATGATCCCACACAGTACGGCGTGAGCACAAATGTGAATGTCGGCGGCATACCCGCCGCCCAACTGCCCTATCCCGAAGCCACAGCGGCAACATTGCCGCCGCCACCCGTGCCCATGTTCTCGACTGCATCGATGCCGCAGCAACAGCCCTACATGACGTCACCTATGGCGCTTTCCTATCCCGCTGCCCCTACCGTGGCATCCTATCCCCAAGTGCAACCTTCGATGGGCGGACTGTTTCCCACGCAGCCAACCCCTATGCCTCCTCAAATGATGCACATGTTCGCGCCTCCGCCGTCGCAATCGCCGCAGTCTCAGCCGCCACAAGTGCACAACAGTGAGGCTGTGGCAACAACTCAAGCCAATTAGATAGCTGTGGACCAATAACTAAGGATTCCGTTATTCGCGCTTTAGACAAAACGTTATATCGTTAAGTTTTTCTGATTATTATTAACAATGACCTCCCTTTTTGTCTCAATTGCTAATTTGATACTATTATATATGCAATAAATAAAAATATGTATGTACATTTTAAAACTCATATATATTCACAATTGTGTAAAGATAAAAATTTGGTTGTCCTTTGATTTGTTTCATATGTACCTACACTTTTATATACTTATCTATATTTATCATCGAATAGTTACCAAAATTGACAACATTTTTATACAGGATCTTTATATATCATATAGCCCGAAACGTCGGTCGGCTGGCCGAGCATGCAAGAATATATGTAAAGCGAAACGTACACGAAATAAATGAATATCACAAAATTGTTTTTAAATTAGCATTTTGAATGTCCTTTTTTTAATAGTACCTTAGGAAATCAAACACCCCCGAAACTTTCAGTGTGCTTCTCTATTTATATTTATGAAACACTACATAACAACTTAGTATACCAAACATGTAGTTTTCGTTGAGGTCCCTGCAGTCAAAGTGGACTGCTACTTCTAAAAAGTATTTTGGAAGTTTTCTTTAGAAAGATAGTACAGATCGTAAAAAGGGAATGGATTATTCAGACCCCTTTCCTATGAAATGCTAATACAGGAGTAGAATTTCAGACTTTGATGAAAAACTTCATCGCAATAATCCCATAATGCTCCTGTAATTCCATTGGCAAAGAAGACTACAAAAATTCTAGATGAGAAATTTAAGCAAGGAGCCACTTGTAGCTAAATTGATAAGAAAATAGGTGGGTTCTAATGTCTTTGTATTGTATTATTTACATCTTTTTATTGGATACTCTACTAGGAAATTAAAAATAAGAATTTAATGTAGACAAAGTTCTAATTATCCTTTAAATGAGCCAACCCGAAGAAATGTGCAAAGCCACATATGATACTAATCAACAGCAGACCCGTTTGATACATCATTTTGATGACAACGTTTGATTCCGGTCGTTCTTTTAGAAGTGATCTTAAAGCCAGCTCTATTACAATATTGTTTTAAGAAAAGTTTCATCAGCCAAGTGAGGTCAACAAAGCATAGCGAACCATTTGGTGCTGCTTATTAAAAAGTTTCCTTGTTTTCCGTTTCATGGACAATAATTTGTCAACCGAGACGAATTTAAAGATCATCAAGGCGCCATATTAGAAGTGGATTGCATTCCAACAGGGAAACGAAGCCGTGGCAGGCCTTATGTACTATAATATACAAATATAGACACAAAACATTTATATATATGGCTATAAAAAAACACGAGAATTTAATGTTCCTATTAATTAGTTAACCTCTTTTTACAAATAGCATTGCTAACAGATTCAATAGATGTGCTCAATTGAAACCAATATTTTCTGATGGCATTGGGGGTCAAAAAGGTACAAGATTTATTTATTTGAAATTTCACAATTATTGTTGGTAATTAAATTCAGCAAAATTGTAATTTTCACTTTTGTCTCATGATAGTACGGATACAATAGTTAGGCAACAAACTGCAACCGACTTTACAGATCACGCTCAACATATTAAAAATGAAAAAAGGAAGAGTAAACAATAAATGGTAAAATTTTATTTTTTTCTTTATTTAGGTTTATTTTATATCCAATGTTGGAGCTATCTGGTGATTCCGAGTTTTTAACATTCATAAATGAAGCATAAAAAATTGCTAATCATAAAAAATATATTTGTTTCTGAGTTCGTTGAGATGAATTTTGTTTGCCGAAAAGGCTGAATTACCTGCTTTTGTAAGAACTAATTTGTTTTTTTTTTAGTATCTTACAACCTATATTAATTTGTGAATAAAACTGCGTACACAAAATGTTACGAGGAAAACTTAGTGCCGTGCTTTCAGGAAATGTTTTCTGTTAAATTTTACGCAATGTCATTTAAAAATTTGTGGAGTAATATTATTAAAATTGTTGTAAAAGTTTCTTGTGTGATCAGTTCTTTAGTATCCTTGAAAATATTCTTGGGGCAAATAACAAAAGCTTTTCCAAATGTTTCGATATAAGTATGTAATTTGTATTTATGAAGTTTACGAATACATAAAACGGAGCAGTTAGTTAAGCGGTTTAATTCATTTCCACACTAGGTGATACACTTTTGCAAGGGATTGGGAAATCTCGCTTGGCCTTAAACAATAGATTTAATGCATCTGATTAATTTGTATCTACTTGACAAAATTTGGGTTCTTCTTCAGTATGACGAAGCCCTCCATGACGGGTGTCAGCGAGATGTACTCATCGGTGGCCAGTTCCGCACGCTCGCCAATGGCAAGGAGCACGGGCGTTGTATGCGTCTGGAAGCCGGTAATAGTCTTGGGCTTACCAGCCTGGCCCACAACATCAATTGCAATGCCAACGCGCACGGGGACCTGCAGCTGATTGAGCTCCTCATCGAACGTAATCAGCATGCGCGCCTGCATGGCCGGAACCAGTGTATAGAGCAGATAATGCGAACGATTCAATATTAAATTCTTCACATCCAGCAGCGATACCAATGTGGACATTAAACCAGCTACGGCCATCGGATTCATTAGCTGCCGATCGCTGTGATATGGACTTAACGACAGAGTGCCTTTTCCCAAGTGCGTCAAACTCTGAGCGATGCGCACCATAAACAGATTGCTAGGATCCTTGGAGTGATATTGTGCTAGCTGGCGCAACATTGAAGCCAGACGAGCATTATTAGTGCCCGCACCAACCAGACCCATCGCAAAGATGGCATTGTGTGCGACCTCAGCGTCGCTATCATGAGAGAATTTGCTTAGCGTGTCCAGTATATTAAGCTTAGGATTGGAGGCGGAAATTAGGCCCAAAGCGAGCGGTACAGCACGGCGTATAGCGGGCTCACAATAACGCAATAGATTGCCGAAGGAACGATAGGCCATCTCGGCACCAATGTCTTCACCCATAGCAATCAGTGCAATGCCCAGCACTGCAATTGACTGCGTGGCTGAGAGATCCTTCTCACGCTCTTTTTCCTTTTCCTTCTCTTTTTCCTTCTCCTTCTCCTGCAAGCGAATTTCTTCTTTAGCTTCTGTGCAAACTTATGATTCAATGGGTACTTACCTTATCCTTGCTCTTATCTTTCTTTCCCTTCTCCTTCTCCTCATCCGCATTAACCGTCTCGTAGTGATCGGAACAAATGTGCAGTAGCTGTTGAATCTTGAGCACATTGCCCGTGCCTGCATAGGCGCAAATGTCAACCATGGTTGTCGCCATAGAGCGATATGGCTCCTCCAACACTTCCAATGTCATCATTACCGCCTCCGTAGACTTCTGCCGTCCTAGGTAAAGCAAGCCGAGACCTAACCATAGAAAACGCGCATAGGTGTCCTTCAAGTCGGCCTTTGTTAGACCCATTATCGTTTGCAGCAATATTTCCGTGATTTCGGCATTACACGAGCCGACACTAATTAGACCCAATGATAGCGAAGTAATGCCTAAGATCTCGACGCTTGGTGTCGTCTTGCCATTACTGGCAAAGACAGCCTTCAAGGTATCAATAACAATAGCCCGATTGGAACCAGCATAGGCAATGCCTAGACCGAGGATGGCACCAATACGCATGCACGAATTCTGATTCTCAATGTAGTCGGAAAGCAACGCGTGGGCCGGATCCACCTCATTACGTATTCCACAATTGACAATACCACAAGCAAGAAGGGCACCCGACTTGATGTTATCGTCGGTGGAGTAAAGGTATTTGTCAATCATGGTCAGACCACCATCAACATCCCAGAGCAGGATCAGACCCAACGAGGCTGTGGCTGATAACATGCCATGCTCCTTGTTCTTGTACAGCCATTTATTGCCGTCTTCCGAAAGCAGCTTGTCCACACCAAAGCCGGCATTGACAAAGCCATTAACAAAACTGGCTGCAAGATTTTGCTTGGCAGAATCCACCTGCAGAAAAACATGAAATAGTAATAATTAATTGCTAGCTGAAAGGTATTTTAAAATTATTTATACACACGCAAACATACCTGTATGGACGCAAAACGCGAACGTGAATTATCCAAGTGTGACTTGTAAATATCCTCTGGTGTCTTCGGCTCCATAATGTCCAGCTCACGAGCCAAATTGAGGAAATGTTTATTCAGGTTGGCATTAGACATAATCTCCATTAGATCATCGTAATCTGGCAGAGATTCGTCTAACTCCAAGCACACCTGCTGCCGCGCCAACATAAATGCCAATTGCTTTTGCATAGCCGGTTCCTTGGGCTCCTTGAAAATTTCGCCGATTTTGCCCATGTCATTGAGCATTAATGCCAAACGCATTGCTTGTGTGTGCTGGTGAAATTTGCGTGCCAACTGTAACGCTGTTTCCAATATTATCGTATTATCCGGCTCTGGGACGTATGGGTAACACGACTGTAGATAAAGGCAGACACGGGGATATGCCGACTCGTCGACGTATTCGCTCAACAAATGCAAATGATCAATTTCAATGAGCAAATCGCAAGCATCTGCTTCGGCATTATGCTCCATGTTGTACGGTATAATCTGTTTAACCAACTCAATTAGCTGCGTGCGAAACTCACCCGTGGTGTCGTGATAATGGGTTGAAATTTCGCCCGATAAATGACGCACATACTCATGACCCCAGTCGCCAATTTTTTGCGTGCGATCGCACAAAAAGCGATAGGCCAAGCAATCTTTGCCACTACCCATAGTCATAGAGAGCACCGAGATAATATCGGCGCACAGCTGGCGCGTCTGCTCGTCAGGCATGTGTTTGTAGACATTCTTCATGGTGTCGTAGTGGGGGCGCATGAATTTTAAAGGCTTAGGCACTGATGTCATTGATGTGGTAGAAGCGCGAATCAATTTTGCCATCATTTCCAATGCGGGCTTGTACAATGCCTTGTCGTTCTCCTGCAGCCGCTGTACCAATAATTCCAGCTCCTCCTGCAATTGCTGATCCTCATCGGAAAGCTCGGGCTGTTCCTTCTCCTTTGCGTCATCCTTTTTAGCTTTCCCATCTTGCGCCAGCTGCTTGGCCTTCAATTCCTTTGGGTCGCCGCCAGCACCAGCGCCACCCGGGAGCTGTTTCTCCTGCTTGGTTTCGCCAGTCATGGTTTTCGATTTCGCTAGCGATGTATTTTGGACTGCAGTGTTACTAAAAAGCACTTACTTGCTTTGCAAATTTGTTCTATCAAAATTTTAACGTATTAACTTCAACAAAATTTATTAAATTGGATTTGTAGCTCTGCGTCCTCGTCTCTTTTTCTTTTTGCAGAATTACAAAGCGCTTTTTCATCTGTCAAACGACATACGTAAAGGAGTGTTGGTTCATGACAAATAATTTTTCGTTTCTTTTCAGTACTGCTGCAATCTAAATAGTTACATCTATGTATTATCGTTATCGATAAATCAACGGCAGCAAATTCAATAAAAACCGGCACACATGTTTTTGTTTATATTCTGGTTTATATTGGTTTAATAAAAACAAAATATGTTGCGTGGTACACAAACAAAGAATAATTTATTAGACGGCGGCACCATTGCAGAGCAATTGTATGCTACGCCCAAGGACTGCGAGGATATTTTCGATAGCATCGAAAAGCCAAGCGCGTTGATCGCCACGCCGCGGCCCACATGTGAGTTTGATATTTTGTTTTATCAAACGCTGTCTTCATAGTTATTTATTTTACAGTTATACGCTCTGGTGTTTTGACAACAGTGCGCGGCTCCGCATACATGGAGTATGGCAATACCAAAGTGCTGGCTATTGTAGCTCCACCGCATGAATTGATGCGTGCAAGTGCACGGCGTGTAAACATGGGCGTTCTGAATTGCTATGTAAATTTTGCCGCTTTTGCCACCGGCGAATTGGAATCTGCGCCGGAAAGAGAGAGACACCTTGGTAGCATGCTAACCAAGGCCCTGGAGCCGGTGGTGTGTCGCAACGAGCTACTTAACTTTCAGCTCGACATACGCGTGCTCATACTAGATGACGATGGCTGTCTTTTGAGCACTGCTATTAATTGCTGTGGCGTAGCTCTGGTGGAATGTGGCATATCTACATATGATATAATAGCCGCCTCCACAGCGTGCATATATCGAGACCATGTTTTCGTTAATCCAGATGCTAAAGTAGAGGAGTTGTTGTGGCAGCATAGAGGCGGCAATGCTTTAGTGGGCGCTACGGCAGACACTACGTCCACACCGCCAGTTGTCCGGGAGCACGGTCTTCTAGTCACGGCTAGCATGGACACTTTTGAGCAGATAGCGCAGTGTCAACAGTGTGGTTATCTTAAACCAGCAACATACGCGCGCCTGTTAGACTGTACATTGGAAATAAATAAAAGTTTGCGAGAGCTTATTAAGAATACGATTAGGGCCCGCGTCAAGGAGCAGTATGCTCTTGACCTTCGTGAGCAAGCAGAGAGCGCGCAGGAGGATGAGCGCCTCAAAACTGTCATCGAGAGCCTCAAACAGCAGGGCCTGGACGAATTCATACAATCGAACATTAAAGAGGATCCCTATACGAAAAGATAATTACTAGGATTGTTTTGACCGAAAGAGGAAAATAAAATATCTTTTAATAGATTTTGCGCTTAAATATTTGTTAACAAATTTCGTATAATTCGTCAAGGACTAATGACATTTGAGTTAACATCGACATACAAATGAATGTGAGTAAAAAAGTTACACATCATTGGTATAAAATTTTGGATTCAAAAGGAAAATCTCAAAAAATTTTAGTGCTTTTTCAGAGTTAAATTTCAATGATTGATATCCAATTTGCTTTGCAAATTTTGTTTTTTTGTAAAATTTGAAATACGTACATATGTTTGTATATCGATATATCAATGTCAAGAGTCCTCTACTTGTAAAACAGTACACCTTATTGTTGATCTGTTGAGGCCTCCAATACAGCGCCAGAGTATGCCAAATCCCAATAGTGTTCCACTTGATGTTTTTGAAAGAATTCGCGCGCCATTTTCTCCATTGGAAATATTTTGAATTTGATTTCGCCAAAGTGCCGCCGTTGACTTGTGCCCTCCCATACGAGCACACACGAGTTGGGAACATCCTGACCATCGTTGCCCTTGACTATGTCCTCTTCCCATTTGATGCGATGTAGCATGAGTCGGCGGTACTTTTTTTGTTGCTTGGGTCCACCCTCGACGACGACAACACAACAATCACGAAAGAGCGCCACACTACCTGTCATCTGAAGCTGTTTGGCATTTGTTTCTACCTTGAATTTTTTGCTCTGGTTATCCTGCAGATCGCGTATGCGATAGACGCTAACGTGGACACCACAAGTGGTATCCTCCTTGAGTTTCCGCACTTTCTTTTCGCTCTTCTGCTCGGCGGTCAGCTTGCGCGCATTGTTTGCATCTTCGTGAGCCTTTTGACGCTTTGCCATTTGTTCGCGTACATGGGCCTCAATCTTGGTGGGATCTTGAACTGCATCTGTGCCCAGAACGCGCATTAGATTTGAAATGCGCAACTTTGGTTCGGGTGGTGCAACCAGACCCAGACGTATCTTTTCTTGTTCCTCCTTCCACGCCTCGCGCCGATTCTGACGCCGTAACTTCTTGCGCTCTTTTTTAGTAAGGAACACGGGCAAATACACAGGTTTTAGGGGCTCATCTGCAACAGAAAATTGGGTAGCATGTTAGTTGAATATGAAATTTATAATTTTTGGATTTGGTGCTTGTCAAGATAAATGGTACTTACTTGGCGGTTTCATTTGCGTCGGATGCTCAATGAGATTGCTAATAGCCGTTTGGCGAATGCTTATCTCACCGCTTGTCTCATCTACAGTCTGCAAATCTTGGGTTAGAATGACCGAATCCCACCACTCCATAGCAGGCACATCATCAGGCATGTCCTGTTTGGGCGCAATCAAAGCAAGTTTTGTAGCGGAAGAGATGCCTGTTTTCCGAGCTATTTGCGATATTTCATTTTGTAGCCGCTCCAGCTGACTCTTCATCCGCATGCGTTCAGCCAATTGCTGAAATTTTCCCGGTTCATGAAAGCGCAATGTTCGTTTATTGCGCACCATGGGCTTTTGTGTAATTCGCTCATCAAAATACTTGACACCGTCGTCCAGCGTACCAGCAGTTCCAGAGCCACCAAGACCTCCACGTTCACTGCCATGTGTCTGCCGTTGGAACCCCTCACGCTTTTTTGCGCGTATATTGGCTTTGAGCGTTGGCGTGACTGTCGGTATATTGATGGTGCGTCCACTTTTATCCACAGTGCGTCCCTCCGCGTCCAATATCAAGGGTTTGGGCCGTTCCTGTTGTTGAGCCGCTGCTGCAGCTGCTGCCGCTACAGCTGTAGGCTGTATAAGATTTGCCAGATTACCCGTAAGCTTGGCACGGATTTGCGCCTGAAGTTCAGCGATCTTTTTGGCCTTATCTGCATCCTCTGGCGTGGGCTTCTTGGCTAGCGCCTGCGTGGCTAGTGCGACCGGCATGCCTATTTGAGGCACTGAAGCCAACAGTGGATCTTTGTCTCTCAGATTACTCAATGCTCGCTTGCGTTCTTCGATCTCACGCTGGGCGTGGGCCATCATCAATTTAATTTGCGAAGAGCTGAGCGCTGCAGCAGTAGCGGCATCCAACTGCTCACTACCCACTGACGGCTTAGCATTTGAGGACATCTCGATTGCAGGAGCGCCATTTTTTTCCTTGACATCAAAACGTGATTTCTTGGGCGCGTCCACGCTTCCTGCATCCGCACTGCGCTTTTTGGCCACTTTCTGTTGCTGTTCGACGGCATCGACGCTTTCGACATCCTTGCGCGTTATAATGGACGACATAATTCGCAATTAAATGAGTCTTTCTAAAAAGTAAAAGTTATTTACCAAAAACAATGCACATTCCGCTTTATCCGTATATGCTTTTATATATTTTGGTAGACTTGCATAAGTTCTTTGGATAAATATTAATTTGTTGCAATTCTCAAACGTTTATTGCTGTACGAAAAAGGTAGGGTTGCCGCACACAAATGTCGTGTTTTTCCATCATAATCTTCATAGATGACAAGAGCTGGCATTGACATAAATTCGTATTTTTATCGATAAATACCAAAATTCTGAATTTTCTTAAATTAGAAAATACATACAGTACTAAAACAGTAGCATAATGTTATATTTCTTTCATTTCTTTGGTAATTAGAATTGGACATTATGCCTACTTTATATTGCTCATAAATATGGGCTGTCACCCGATAGAGAGCTGTCGTTTCTTTAGCCAACATGGCCGACCGATTGTGACGAGGGCTGACGCACTTGAATGTCAAAAATGCTAGATTACTAACAAAATATTGAAAAAGTTGAATATATTGTTATACATCTGGTAGAAAGCTAAATTTTTAAATAAAGCGAAGTGTCTTCTAGTCATTACTAGTCTCTCATTTTCAAAGTGAACTTAACATACAGAAATAAATAGTAGACATAGAATAGAGTTTGGTCAGATCGACATAAGTACAGTGAAAAACTACAGACATATTTTCGTAAGGCGATCTGCTAATATTTAAAAAGCTACAATTTCCGTCAACCGGTGTTTCTAATTTCAGCCGTAACCAGATTTTAGACCCCAAAATCTGACGGGATAAAGCTAAATTAGCAACACTATTATCCCCGACAACTGGTCGCATGCGCATCGATGTGTACTATCGATATCGCGATAACGCATCCCCAAACACAACATTTTAGTCTATTTTTTTCTCGTCGTGTCTGTGTGTGCTTTGATTATTTGTTGTGGAAATAAAGCGGTTTTATTAAGAATAGGTTGCTTTAAAATTGCAATTAATTGCAAACATGGCATCGGAAGAAGAAAATGACGACAATTTCCAGGGTGAGTGATATGTTTTAATATGAACTTCTCGCTGAAAAATTTAGCGTGTATGAAAAAAATGTAGAATACGAATACGAACCGTGGTCATGTTCAAAGCAAGTAAGCAGGCGTCAGCGCGTTGCCGACAGTTTTTGTCTTGCCACCGCCATAACCAATTTCTTTTGTTATTATTCCTCTTAATATTTATTGTGGCTTTAATTTTAACTAGCATTTATTATATTTAATAATTTTAGTAATATTGTGAAATGTAAAGCGCGTTTCTTTTTCTATTTTGCCTTTCCTTCATTCTACACAAATTTATTATTGCATTTCTTGTGCTCGTGTTTCGCAAATGCAGCACCGGCGTTATATAGCCATCCCGGTCGCACATCAACATATATATGTATGTGCTTGGTTGCGGACACGAAGGCGCCTAAACATGTGTGTCTGTTGCTTTTCGAATGCACACACTTAAACTGTAAATAAAATAAGTTTAATAATTCCATCACTTGAACTTGAATGAACCTTTTACGCGTGCAACACTTGGGTTTGCAAAGGGCTTTTTGTTGTGATACATACATGTGTGGAACGCTTACTTTTGTCGATATACATATGTATTTATGCATGGTAGGTACCATATGCTGTTTAACTGCTCACATAGCAAGGTTACGAAAGTACTTATGAATCATGTTATCTTGGCAGATACATTAATGGCGCAGTCTCTGTTGCGAAGAATTAAAAAACAGTCTGAAATTTATGGTTCCTAAAAAGTTCAACAATTATATGACTTGCTTATTGTGCAAATTGTATATTTCGTTTTGCGAAACTGCGGCACCTTTCAAAATACCATCAAAAAATACCAAAACAAGTGTTTGCACCTTATTTGCGCCTAAAACTGTTCCGTCAAAACTCTATAGCTGCTTTGCTCTAACCAACGTGTTAGCCCGATATAATGACATATTCAGTGTGTGCACACTGATCGATTTTCATCTCTGCTTGGCACTGCGCCGCACTACTCGCTCTCACCTCGCAAACGCACTCGCAACCGCAACCGACGATAACGCGTGAAGTGGGCCGCTTTGGAAATTGTACGATTCATTGTTGCTTGGACGTGGCAGCCATGACGTGATTTCTGACTTTAACTACATTTTTTGTTGAAAATTACATTGTAAATTTAAAAAAAGTTAAACTTAAGGGGAATACGTGCATTATTAACGAAACAAAAAGTGGCATCATTCGCAAGTGCTCAATTCAGTGTAAACTAGAGTGCGTAAATTATGTAAAAACTACTGCAATTTTATAAAATATTGTGTAAGCAAATTTCAAAAGAAATACGTATGCGAAAAGGAAATAATGTTTGAATATTGAAAAATTTCGTCGCATTCACACTGTTGAAAATAAAATACATATGTGATTTTTTCCACTCCCTCGCTGCGCGCTGTTCACTTGATTGATTTCTCCACATTGTGTGTGTGTGTCGGTCGGTTAGACGGTTTTACGGACTTTTCGTCTGTCTATCTCACTGTAGCATAGACTTTGCCACCATTTACATTTGTCTGTCGCTTTGTCGTCGCAGCCGTGTTTTATATTTTATATACACGCACACATGCTCATAAAAAATTATATATATGTATGTAATTCAATGAGAGTGTGTGTGTAAGTAGACTCGTTTGTTCGCCAGTTTCCATTTGCACCGCCGCGTTGGCTCCCCCCGTTTTCAACAAGCTTACCAATATATTGTATATAAGTTTGCGTGTGCGTGAATGTGTGTGTGTGCGTTTTGTGCACGCGCGCTCCATCTCTCGTCTCCCGTCTCTGTTTCTCGCTCAACCACCGCACTCGTCGCTGTCGTCGTCGATTTTAGTCCGTATGCGAAGTGGTTCCGATTGTCAATTTACGCGTTTCCAATTAAATTTCTTTACAACATTATTATCAACAACAACATAATAATACAAAAGAAAAAAGCATAATCAACTTTGTTGCTTTTACCATAATGTATGTATGTATGCACTGCATATTTGGCAACTAATCGTGAAAAATATGCAAACAAATCTCACAAGAAAGAAGCAGCGCACAGGTAGACCAGACAAAAGAATTTGCTGGAACGCAAGAGTTCTATTGACGAACATTCTTGCAAAAAAAAAAAAAAAAAAAAAAAACAACAAAAAACCGACGTATGTTTGTTCGACGCAGCTGACGTTTTTTGCTCGCACCCTACCTCCTTCCTCTTTCTTCTAACTCATTGGACTTTTCCGCAGCTGTTTTATTGCAGCGCCGCGGTTTCTATTAGTGAGTGTTGTGGATGTGCTTGTGAAAAAGTATTTAAATAATATATTTGAAGTCTCCTATCAAGACTCATATTGTTTTTGGAGATACCTTAAATAAATATCGCCAATAATTAGAAATAGAACATATATTTTAAAAAATGAATTTAAAGTTATTGGGTGTAGCTGCGCCGCATTGTCAGATTTACGTAGGTAGCCATTTTCCACAACCTATTTTAAATTCTGCGCTATCGATACACATAGACGCCATAGGCTTTTAAAGCTTATCGAAAAATTTGTCGTCGTTGAGGTTGCGCAGAAAATGAAATCTGTAATTTTCCCATAGACACAATGCATGCTTGATTGTTTTTACTTTGGGTGCCTTCGAATGAAATTGATGCTACACGAAAAAAAAAAGAAGCAAACTGTGACGTCAGCTCATTCAAACATACACACTTGTTTTTGGCCGTTAGTTGCCGTTGCCGTCTGTTTCGCAACGAGACATTCCAACAGCTGTCTGCACGTAGCCAGCCGTAGCGCGCAACCACCAACAACAGCAATGGCGCACACCTTGCAAGAAAGCCAAGAAAGAAAAAAAATTTAATGCGCCTGTGTGATCTTTTATGTATGGGAGGTTGCTCGTATTTTCTGTCTTTGATTTCACCAAGCAATGCGAAGAGAGATAGCGTGTGCGTGGCTGAGAGGTGTATCGGCTGCTGCGTTTCTATACAATTTTATTTAATTTTATTCATGTGTGTTGTGGGCTCTATATTCTCATATGCCGGTTTTTCATTTCGTTTTAATTTGGATTACATGCTGCGCTTACATTGGTTAAAGTTTGCCGTAAGCGTGTTGAGTTTTGAAACATATTTTGCATAATAAATGTAGACCTGTCCGAACCTCTGACTCCATGCACTAAACTTGTGCGCAGGATCTCCTGCTCCCACACTTCTCCGAAAATGACTTCATTATAACTTCTGTAATTCTTTATCAATCACAAAGAGGATTTTATTTAATTAACTATGTGCCAAATCTTACCCAAATTACACATTTCTAAAGAAAGTTACATACATTCAGATTACACCTGTAATCTCAAACCAGCAGCTGTCAACTCAAATGCATACTGAAAACAATTTCAACATTTAATTAATTAATTAGTACAGGCAGGATACATGAGTCTAGGGTACGCACAACTCTAGCATTCGATTCGTTACACATTAGTCATTGTCTATACATATGTAGGTAAATATTATTTTGCAACAAAGTAAAATAATTGCACACCATTACACATGCAATCATAAATTGCATAAACACTGCAACTCTGCTAAATAAGAGAGCAAGTTGTGAGAGAGTGTTGTCAGCAGATTAATAGCAGAAGTGTGTTTTGAGTTTAAAAGAGCGAACAGAAAACACGCGCCTGTGCAACTCAATAAAATGTGGAAAGTCGTGTTAAATAGATATGGTGGGAGTGTTGATGCTACTCTCTAGTTATTAAAATGTGAGGGATGGCTATGTTGCTTTTGATTCATAAGTTTGTAACACCCATCAGAAACAATAGTAATATAAATCGCGATGTCCGTCTGTCTGTTTTAATACCTTTAACCATTTTAACATTAACATAGCATAACCATAGAGGAATAAAGCTTGCAAAATAAAGGGTATACAGGATCGGCACAGACGAATAAAACATGTAACTCATTTTCTTGATTTGTTGCTCTTGCTTTGAATATGTTATAGATACGCAATGTGTTGAGTTAACTTAAATTACTAATGAATAGACGCCTAATCGGCGATTTTATACCAGGCGCGAACTCAATACCATAGTCCAACCTCTTCATCAAAGGGCCCATTGTGACGTACAAACGTAAGATGCATACATACATACGCATGTTGCGTGTATTTGTATTATTTATAGTTGTGGCTCTTTGCGTCTGTTTGTGCTACGTAGATAAGCTCTCTCTGTATACTTTTTGTACGTGTCATTAGTACACACACACACAACTAATAATTTGAACTTTTTTAAAGCGTGCAAAAAATCACCTTTTTCGTGAGCAAAAAATGTACATGTCGGAGAAGGGTTGGATAATTCGCGCGGCGTGACGCGCTGTTCGGCCATTTTCTTTACGTGAGCACAGCAATTCGCACTGGTAGTGTTGCCTTTGACTTCTTGAAGCAGACTGACTTGCATCACTGCTCTCTCGAGGCTCGTTGTCTTACTCGTTCTACTCTTCCTTTTTGTTCTTTGACATTTCCTTTTCTCAACTGCCTAGACAACAACAATGCGCTTTGCTCGGCTAAGGCAATATTTGCTCTTAAACCCTGCTCTTATTATAGCCTGCAAGCCGATCACATGACACATTCTCTTTGTATTTGTTTTACACACAACATCATTTAATGATTTACATTTCTTTATTTAGTGTTATTCTTCTACACGGCCTTCCTGGCTCTTACACGTCCTCGTGTAGTATCTTATCATAATGAAATTAGCAAAACAAAACTTATTCAAATAAAACTTATTCGAACAAAACTTATTCAAACGTCGGCTTCATGCCTTGCTCAATATTTTTTTTTTTTTTTTTTTTTTTTTTATTATACTATATATAGTCAATCAATTCAAGTATTGCGCTTCAATTTACCATAAGTTTATCGTTACTTCGTTTATTTAACACTTCTTTGCAAGATGTGTCTTCAAATGACGGTTTTGCAGGCATTCACACACATTTGCGGCTGTGCCAACCAGTAGCTCGTACTCTTCTGCGAAAACCCGAACATCTGGATATCTCTCTATCATACCACAACTCATGGACTCCACTTGCCCTTGCAACATGATCACTTTAAGTCACATGTTCTCTACCACGACAACCGCGCCGCACGCCATGATAGACACCCTCCGTCTACACTTGTGCCATCGGTATAACTTAGTGGTACGGGCGTGGTCCTTGTGTATGACAATACTACATCGTCACTGGTGGGAGCTTGGGCTTTGGCCAATGCCTTCTTCTGCATTACCACCCTCCACATCTTCCAACTCTGCAGTAACTTGACTATCTGGTAACGGTCGCAAATACTCATGGGCATACTTGTATGTCCTCTTACTTATCAAGGACTTTAATTTATATCGGTCACCATCAAGCACTTCAATCACGACAAACGGTCCCTTAAATTTGGGGTCAAGCTTTGTTTGGTGCCGCTCTTCACTTTTGAGCAAAACATGATCTCCAACCTTATGCTTAACAATCTTTGCCTTATTTTGATCAAATCTAGCTTTATCATAGTTAGCATTTTTTAACATATTTTCTTTGGCCTGCTTTCTTAAACAATCAACATCAACTTTTTCTTCATTTATCATTGGCACTAAGCCTAGTGGTCTAGCCTCTTTGCCTATCAATAATTCCAATGGACTAACTTTTGTTACTCGATTTGTCGTGCAATTTATGGCCAACTGTACTTCATCTAATGCTTCTTGCCAGGAACGCTCGCTCGTTTCAACTGCTGTCAGCATATTTTTCATAGTGCCCATTACGCGCTCTACCTGTCCATTCGCACGACTCGCTCCCGTAGCTATCAAATGTAAATTAACGTTTTGTGATGAACAAAATTCTCGAAAAGCGGCGCTGGCAAAGCTCCTACCCTGATCAGCAATAATACGCGTAGGCACGCCAAAAATGGATATTGCTGATTTGACCGCTTTTATACAACTTTCCGTGTCCAAATTTAATGTGTGATAAAAGTAAACAAATTTAGTAAATGCGTCTACTTGTACTATGACATACTCCTTCAAATCGTTTTTGCCACTTAGTTTGCCACTTATATCAATGTGTATTGTATGCCACGGTATTTCCACCTTGGGTATCGGATGCATTTCTGCCTGAATCTTGCCCGAGGATGACTTTGATACCTTGCACGTTATACAGTTTTCTACAAACCTACGCACATATTTTGACATATTCTCGAACCAATAGTAGGTGTATACCTTATCTAATGTTTTCTCCCAACCTAAATGCATTATGGCTTCGTGTACGTGATTTATTACGGACCACCTATATG